CTGGTAAGGGTTCCTTTAAGGGTTTAGGGTTTAGGGTTTAGGGTTGTTCTTTCAAAGCCTTCAAGGGTTCCTTTAAGGGTTTAGGGTTTAGGGTTGTTCCTTTAAAGCCTTCAAGGGTTCCTTTAAGGGTTTAGGGTTTAGGGTTTAGGGTTGTTCCTTTAAAGCCTTCAAGGGTTCCTTTAAGGGTTTAGGGTTGTTCCTTTAAAGCCTTCAAGGGTTCCTTTAAGGGTTTAGGGCTTAGGGTTTAAGGTTGTTCCTTTAAAGCCTTCAAGTCGGGTCTTACCTACGTGTGGCAAGGACCGCAAGGTTTCGGTTTGGGGATAGGTCTTGCCCCACCGTCCAGTAGCAGCCCAGTGCAGCACGTCTTTAAGAGCATAGGGCAATACCGGCACTTTCATGATGAGAAAAGCGCATTGGGGGTAAATGATACTAGAAGTATATACAGGAGCCTTAGACCCTAACCTAAATAACAAGTCTCCTCTATCAGGCCAGTCCTCGTCGCCGGCAAGTTGCTTCAGAACCTCTCCGAAAAGCACTTCCATCTTCCTCAGGACAATGCAACCGTTCAGAATATTATAGGGCCTTGATCATTGTCCTTAGAAGCGGGCTTGCAGGTATATTCTAGCCAAATTAAAATATGGAGCCCCAAGCCACAGTATTGGCAATTATGTAGTCATTTGCGAAACCTCCTTCACGTACCTTGCTCTGATGCTGTTGGCGTGACACAATGAAGCGGAAGAAGCGATATGCTGCGTGAGCCTTAGCCACGAAGATGTTCACAACTTCGCAAACTTCGTTGTTCCGTTCGTATCCAGCTTCATTAAAATAACTAAACCATGCTTTTAAACTGCGTTACACCATGTTTTAACACTAGAGCAGAGGCAAGAAACTCTGTTCGCATCCTGAAAGCCTGGTGTTCTTTAGATCCGTCACCTGCTCGGATTCGATGCTTGTGACAGAGTCTTTGTTGTGTCTGCTTTTTTGGAGCATGCTTTTGCTTCAACCTAACACAGAAGAACACGTCAAAAGAAAATCCGGGAACCAAAGGGCTAAATTGAGCAAAAAACGATCAAGCGCATTTTCAATCGCCTGCTTGTTTTCCCATTCACTACTTTGACCTCACTGAAGCCTGGGCCAGTTGTTCAGGTTTAGGGTTGAGGGTTTGGTAGATCCTAATTAAACCGTAACTTGAGGCTTAAATCCCTCGGCCCTAAACCCTATGAGCCCTATTTATATCATAGAACCCTTGCAGAACCCTCATAGCAACTCTCTTAAAACCCGCCAGCGAGGCCGAAAGAAACCCTATTCCAACCAACGTCAACTAAACGCTCTTCCTGGCCATCCATACCTAAACTCTAACCTAAACCCCAAACCCAATACGGTTTACGGTTTAGGGTTTAGGATTCGCAATCCCTTAGTCCCCAGCTAAAGGACCTTCTTTGCCACCGCGGGTCGTTTCCAATCGCCAGATGTCCACGGCCTTCGCGCTCCCCCGCAACCGGGCCGCTCCCTTCAGGGTTTAGGGGTTTAGTTGTTTAGCGTTTATCGGTTTAGGGTTTAGGGGTTTAGGGTTTAGGGTTTAAGGTTTAGGGGCTGAGGCGCTTTCCAAGAGGGTCCACATCTACTACCATTATGGAATTAGGTCCCCAAAACCATAGTAGGGATGGTCTTTTGGGACCTAAATCCATAGTGGTAGTGTATATGGACCCTCTGGGTTTGGCATTTGGGTGGGCGTTTCAGTGCTAGGGTTGAAAGTTTAGGGATTCAGGGCTTGGGTTCAGGGTTTTAGGGTGTAGGGGCTTAGGGGTTTAGGGGTTTAGGGTTTAGGGTTTAGGGGTTTAGGGTTTAGGGTCTAGGGTTTAGGGCTTCCGGGTGTCGGTCTTTGCATTGGGGTTCAGGGCCTTCGAGGGTTTAGGATGTTCAGAGATCTGACATGGCATCTTGCAGAAACGGTGAGCCCTGTAATACAGCGGCCTTGGTAGCTACGATAGGGTTTTTGGGTATCGTATAGTATAACTATAGTTAGGAGTTAGGACCCTAAATGATACGTCAGGATGTACGCCGGGTAACCCCCTA